TTGTCACTTTTTTGAGGTTATGTCAAAATTAAATGTGGGATATCGCGGGTGTTTCTTGAGATAATCGAGTCGAGTTTGGACTCAATTTGAAGCATTTTTAATTCCCCACACGATCGTGAATAAATAAAAAACCTAACCTCAATTTATAAACGTCAAATTAATATTATTTGATGTTTTCTGCCATCTTGATTAATAATTTCAATTAAATAATAGCGAAATTCTATATTTTTACTTAAAAGTCCGCCGCGAACTTAATTTCGTTCAAATCGTATCATTTTTCATTAAATTATCCGCCATTTTGTCTTTATTTTGACAGAATTTAATTAAACCAATATCGCATTCGTAATCTATATTAAATTCGCTTTAAAACGAGCCCAAACTCGGTCAAGTTATCTTAAAAGGCAACAAACTTCCGATTGTCACTTTTTTCAGGTTATGTCAAAATTAAATGTTGGATGTTTTGGGTGTTTTTTAAGATAATTGGGTCGTGTTTGGACTCGATTTAAGGGATTTTTAATTCTCCACCCGATTATGAGTAAAAAAAGAACCTAACCTCACTTTGTAAACGTCAAATTGATATTGTTTGATATTTTTCGCCATCTTGATTAATAATTTTAATTAAATAATAATAAAATTCTTTATTTCTAGATCTAAAAATACCCGGCGAATTTAATTTCGTTGAAATCGCATCATTTTTCTTAAATCATCTTCCATTTTGTTTTTATTACTATCGAATTTCATTAATCTAACATCGTATTCGTAATCTACATTAAATTCCCTTTAAAATGAACCTAAACTCGGCCGAGTTATCTTAAAAAACAACATACACCACCAACTTCCGGTTGTCACCTTTTTGAGGTTATGTCAAAATTAAATGTGGGATATCTCGGGTGTTTTTTAAGATAATTGGGTCGTGTTTGGACTCAAATTAAAGGACTTTTAATTTCCCACCTGATTATGAACAAAGATAAAACCTAACCTCACTTTGTAAACGTAAAATTAATTTTATTCGTTATTATCCGCTATTTTAACGCAACGTTTTGTTTTTATTTGTATTTATTGACTTATTTTTTTCAGTAAACGTCAAATTATTTATTGCCAACCATAAAAAATCAAAAAAATGTTATTGAATTTAATTTTTTTTACGATTCTAGTTCTAATTGTTACTAACCGTTAAATTGTTGTCTATTTTTTTGTATATTGCATAAGTGAAATTCACTGCATATGCAACACCATATACAGATGTTTGTATAAAAGATAGAAGATATAGAAATGGAAGATTATAAGTGAACAGCCAGTTAGCATTAAGTAATGTTAAGTAATAAAGTAAACGCAACAAATACAGAGCGTCATTACCAAAAGAAATAGAAGGGTGTATCTCGCCTGCATAATGTCATTTATGTACTTTGTTGCTTACGTGGGAGAGTTCATATATTATTATTGAACTAACACTGGATCCACAACTAGTTTCTAGTTCTAGCGCTAGTATTAACCTTACACGTGGTAATCCTCAGATTCTACCGTCTTTGGCTGTTGGAGAGCTATCCATTCTTAATCTTATTATAAGTTCTTTAGTTCTCAAACACCCGATGGAAACGGATGCAGAAATGATAAATAAAATGTTAAATAAAAAAGAAAATTAACCTCTTTAAATTCCTCTTCTTTCCCGACGTTATCGCTTATAACGAGTTAAATCCAAATCCATTTTAATACTTTTATTGTTGATGATTTTATAACGCGATGCTCTTTAATATCTTGTAGAAAACAACATTTTCTTGAAAATCTAAAACTCAAACAAAAATGATAGGATTTAGTAGGATATATTGGAATAAGTGGTAAAAGAAAAGAATAAAACAAATAGTTATAAGTGAAATCATTGTTTATTGCCATATACCATTTTTTCTAAGTTATTAATTAACTTATTTTTTCTTTACTTTTCGAAATTGTTTGTACCATAAGGATAAAACGGTTGAAACAACCATTTTTTTTTAAATACTGTGCGGAGGATTGGCAATCATATTACAACTATCTACAACTGCGTTCGGAAAATAAAAATTTGCAGGAATTTGCACCGCTTATTTTATAATAATTAAAAATAAACGAAACAATTATTTATTTTCTTCTTTTCGGTAAATATATTACGGCAGCCATACATCATGTACATTAATTAAAAAATAGAAAATATATTTATCATTCTATATTTATGTACTGTTATTGATTTATAAATTTTTTATATTGTATCATTTTTTTTTTTTGGTAAATTTATTGATCATTTTGTGATTTTTGCGGGGTAAATGGCAGCATAATTTATTTTGTTATTGTAAATTATTGACAAAAAAAATAAGAGATCGAAATTTAAATAAAATAATTAAAAAAACAATACTGAAACTTTACAACACAGTTTATTTTTACCTCAACTCATCGCCTAAATAATAGGAATAAATGGTTATTCTAAATGAGATATGGGGAGGGCGAAATAATCATTAAAAATTAGTCAGGTAAATTCTTAAGAAATAGTTAAGTACATTTAAACACTATTTTTTTATTTTTATACTTTCATTTTAAAGTAATTTCATATCCAAAGAAAATTATAATATTTAAACACACACATTCTAAACTTACAACACCTTTTTTTATATCTACAGGGCGTCCAAAAACTCCTTCATCTTATTTTTAACTTTTTATTGATATATTTTTTTTTTTAATGTAAAAAAATGTACACACTGAGATAATTCTATTCTACTATTTGAAACTTTTTTTAATTCAAACTTATTTATTGGAACACCCTGTAACGAAAGACAATTTTACGGAAAAACGAAGAAAATCATACAAATAGGAGATCCCTTCTTTAATAAATACAGAAAAAAAGGGTTGAATTCTAAATTAAATGCAAGAGAGAGGATTTTTTTTAACCCCTTAATTTTGAACTTAAATTATATTGTAATAACTGGGTTATTTATATTCAAAACATTCTCTTGTACAATTCTTTTTGAATTGAAGGGTTAATTAAATTGGAATTTTGGAGGGATAAAAACAAATAAAAACCTAAAAGTAAAAATAACTCCCTGTTATGCACAAAACAACGCATCATCGTGATTATGTACACCATTTTTTTATCTTTTACTTTATAGTTTATATAATATACCTTTTTCTTCATTAATATTAAACTCTATTTACGTCACACGTTTAAGAAAAAAAAAATTAACAGCAAAAAACTATTTAAGAACGACATTAAACGACAACTTTAAATTCTTTTAAGGGGGTGATTTTAAACTAAACGGAAAATTTTTATACTCTTATTTCTTTTTTTCGGATGGTTAAAAAATAAAGATAAAATTAAACGTACGATTTTTTCGCTTAGATTCCTGCTTTCTTTATTTTTGTGGTCGATTAAGCGGCCACCTCGGTGTCCTTTTCATCCCCTTTGTTAGATTCCAACTTTTGTTTCTTCTCTGGAGTTGTAGCTTCAACCCCATTTGATGCATCACCGGTTGTCGACTTCCTTTTACAAGCCTTCACGTCCGATTCTATAAAATTAAAATACTTAGAGATAAATTTATGTGAACAAAATTTGAGTATATTTTTTGTTTGGGTGTAAAGCAAATTTTTTTTGTCTACAGGGCGCTTATTATTATTAATAAATAACAAACGTGCTTTTAGATGACTCATAAAGATGCAAAACTTAACGTTTCAAGTTGAACAAGTTCTTGAACAAGTTTGTTATTTTAATATGAACTTATAAGCTTAATTTTAAATTTGGGCTAAAGCAAGTGAATTCTACGAGGATTTCATTCCTTCACTTTGGATCTTTGCCGCTTCTGCCAACATAAAGTTTTATAAAAAATGTTGGTGAATTAATTTAAACAGCAGATACTCTAAAAATATATTAATAATAAGTGCTCTTTCTACAGGTTATCTCTAATTTACTACTAAATCTATCCCCGAACGTTTTACGAAGAATTACGAGTGGGAATTGTCAATTCGGTGATTTAGTAATAATTTTGCGACACCCGTGGAGAAAATAAGAAGCAAACGGCAAAAAATTTTAGGAGATATTAAAAAATACAAGTTAAAAATAAAAAATTCACCTTGATGGCTATTTAACCGTGATCAAAATCTTCTGAAATTCCAAGTTTACAAATTTAGACAAGAAAAAAGAAACAATACAGACAACATTTTTTTACACAAGTCATCAAAATGAAAAAAGTCCACATGAAGTAACAGTTTTGTTGATTTATTTCACTTAGAAATAGTAGTGGTGTATAACTGCTAAATTAAAAATTGCTGATGAGAATGATATTAATAAAAATTGTTCATAATAAATAAAAAAAAAAACATAATCCATAAATTAATTAAACAAATTTCGCACTTAAAGTTGAAATGTGTTTATTATCACTCTACCGGTTTCGCTAATTTCGGATCATCCTCAGGAGTTCCTAAAGTTATAAATTAGTTATTCTTACAACATTTAATATATCATAATATAATTTTCTAAAACATTTTAATTTACTAGTACAATTGTAAATGTTAATTCTTAAACACGTGCTATATATCATAAATTACCTTTTATTATATTTTAGGCTATGTTGAAGCTGTCAATGGTATATTTTCTATTGTAATGTTGGTAATCTGTCAGATGTGATTGTCGTGTATTCAATTTAATCATTCTTGTCTTGAATAGGTTGGTTTTTAAATATAACACAAATACAGATATATGAGAGGTACGTTTTTTACAATCGGTCACAAGGACCAAATGAAACTATTGATAGTTTCGTAACTGACTTAGGTGCAGTTGATAAATTACTTTTACCACCTCCTGATAAATTTATCCGATAGATAAATCCAGTTCTTAGCCAATGAGAGCGCTTAAAACCGCCGTAACCATGGCAACTATCCTCTAGATAGTTTATCAGGAGGATGGTAAAAATGGGTCTTAAAGAAATTGCTAAAAGCTGTCAATTTGAAAATGAGGATGACATGATAAGAGACAGAATAGTTCTAGGAATAAATAGCAGAGGCTATTGAGAATACACGATTTAAGTTTTGATAAAACCACTGACATTGGCTGTGTAAGTGAAATAAGTAAAAATCAAATTAGAAGACTTCATGGTGGTTTCAACAAAAAAGGAAAAACCAAAAACCAGAGAAGGGCAACAAGTTAGGAACGAAAGAACATATGATTGTAAGAAGTGTGGAAGAAATCATCCATCACGTCAGTGTCCAGCATATCGGAAAAGCTGTAACTTTTGTAAAAAGCCAAACCATTTTTCAACGGGATGTATGAAAAACCCAAAAAATAATTCTGGTAAAATCATGGAGATCCAGGAAAATGATAGCGATGATGAAGTTAGTGGACTATTTATTGATGCAATTGTTGCTGTCGACTCTATCCAATGTTGGGAGGAAGAACTATTAATCGAGAATAAGTATAAAATTAGATTTAAGATTGAAACAGGATCACAGGTAAACATAATTCAATTTAAATGTTAAATATAGTAAGGAAAATTATCTATTAGATTTTATAATTGTCAATGAAAATGCGCAAGCCATAATAGGGCTAGATAATAGTATAAAACTTAATTTGGTTCAAAAAACAGTTTCAATTAATTTGATAGAAAAGCAATCAAAGGAAGGATTTGAAAAAGTTCCTGATCAGTATGAAATAAAATATGACAAAAAAGCCGCGGAGACTACCAAATAAGATAAAAAATAAATTAAAAATTGAGATAGATAAATTAATAAAAATGAATATTATTCAAAAAGTTGAATACCCAGATAAATGGTGTAATAATTTAGTAATTATTGAAAAAGGTGATAATAAACCGAGGTTGTGTTTAGATCCTCATGAACTAAATAAAGTCATTTGACGAAATTCGTGGAAAGCTTTATAATAAAAAAATATTTTAGTGTGGTTGGACATTAAAAAAGGCTTTTGGCATGTTAAGCTTGGTCTCGAGTCCAAAAATCTTTGCACATTTAGCACACCATTTGGTTACTATAAGTTTTTGAGATTACCCTTTGGCTTGAACTGTGCACCCAAAGCTTTTATAAAACTCAATAATATTTTGGTAATATTGATAAAAATGACGTAATAATCTATTTTGACGGCATTCTTATAGCTTCTTATAAATTCAATGTTAAATTTAATCAAGAAAAATTTGTTTATAAACAAAATGAAATAAAATATTTGGGTCACATTTTTAATGAAAGCGGTGTTAAGGCAGACAAAGATCACATTGAGGCTATATTGAAATTAAAAAACCCTGAATCAAAGAGAGAACTACAGAGAATTTTGGGATTGTTTAATTACCTCAGGCAATACATTCCTAACATGGCACAAGTTAGTGCTCCACTCAGAGAGCTCCTTAAAAAAGACGTCACTTGGCATTGGAATGAGGTACACATAAAACGGTTAAACGGAAAATTAACTAATAGAAAGATTAAAAAAGAACAATCTTAAGTCTCCCTGTAGTTATACAAAGTGATGCCTCTAAAGAGGGATTAGGTTGTAGTCTATTACAAGACGGAAAACCCATTGCATTTGCGTCACGTAGCCTTACCAGTGCTGAAATACAATACTCGCAAATAGAGAAGGAACTGCTTAGCGTAATATAATAAATATTATATGATATCTGAAAACCAAAACATGATAAGAGAAGATATTGTAGATAAAAATTCTTCATAATGCATCAATAAAACGTTGTAAGTAAGTGGTTAGAACCCAACTATTATTGCTACCAACCTAGAGGATTTAAAATCTCAAACATTTCAAATTTGACGCATTTAATATCAGAATGGTTTATAACTGCTAAGTTATAAATTACTGATGGGAATGATATTAATAAAAATTGTTGGTAATAAATCAAAAAAATATGATCCATAAATGTTTTCTTTCCAACTATTTCGAATATTTAGTTATAAACCATGAAATCTCCACATCTCAAATTTGACGTTTTTGGATAAATATTATATGATATCTGAAAACCAAAACATGATAAGAAAAGATGTTGGGGATAAAAATTTTTGATAATGCATCCATAAAACGTTATAAGTAACCCAACTATGATTGCTACCAACCTAGAGGTCTTAAAATCTCAAACATTTCAAATTTGACGCATTTAATACCAGAATGTTTTATAACTGCTAAGTTAAAAATTACTGATGGGAATAATATTAATAAAAATTGTTGGTAATAAATCAAAAAAATATGATCCATAAATGTTTTCTTTCCAACTATTTTAAATATTGAGTTATAAACCAAGAAATCTTCACATCTCAAATTTGACGTTTTTGGATAAATATTATATGATATCTGAAAACCAAAACATGATAAGAAAAGATGTTGGGGATAAAAATTCTTGATAATGCATCCATAAAACGTTAGTAACCCAACTATGATTGCTACCAACCTAGAGGTCTTAAAATTTCAAACATTTCAAATTTGACGCATTTAATACCAGAATGGTTTATAACTGCTAAGTTATAAATTACTGATGGGAATGATATTAATAAAAATTGTTGGTAATAAATCAAAAAAATATGATCCATAAACGTTTTCTTTCCAACTATTTCGAATATTGAGTTATAAACCATGAAATCTCCACATCTCAAATTTGACGTTTTTATATTTTATGATATCTTAAAACTTAAACATGATAGGAGAGCATGTTGTGGATGAAATTTGTTCATAATACATCAATAAAACATTACAAGTAAGTCTTTAGAACCCAACTATTACTGTTGCCAACCTAGAGGATTTAAAACTCTAACACTTCAAATTTGACACATTTAATAACAAAATGTTAATAACTCAGAAATTAAAAGCTGAAGATGGGAATAATATTAATAAAAATTGTTCATAAACAATCATAAAATCATAATCTATAAAAGATTTCTTTCCAATTATTTCGTAAAACATAAAATCATCAACAATTCACATTGAAATGAATATCCATGACTATCCAGAGCATTTTATTCACAGTTGAGAGCAAAAACCATATAGGAATAGATTGCAAGATTATATTTTTGTGTAGATAAGTGCTGTTAAGTAGATAAACTGTTAAGATATCTACTTTTGCTTTTTCTCTTCTAAGTGAAATAAATCATCAAAAAAATTCAAAATTTCCACTACCATTCTTGTGTAATTCACGATTCATTAATATTTCGGTCACTTTTTAGTTACATAACTTATTTCATTTTGAGTTTAATTGTAAAAATAAAAAAAACACAAAGACAACAATTTTATTTAAATACATTCAATTTTATTTAAATTAAAAAATGCTTTTTTACCTGCTTCTTTGTCATTTTCCGTTTCATCTTCCCCCTCTTCCTCTTCTTTACCATTTTCCTCTTTAGCGTCGCCGTTTTCCGCCTTTTCTTCAGCCTCTTTCTCTTCCTTCCCTTCGTCAACGGTCGGTTTCACCACGGTCTCCTTCTTTTCCTCCGCCGCCTTCTTCTCCGTCGTCGGTTTCTCCTTCAGGCAACAAACTTCTTCCGCCACATCACTGTAACAACAAAATCACACGCTCCATGATTCTATTCGACTTCAAAACGAGAACTTTAAAGAGTGAGTTGAGTCGGTGGTTTCTCTCGTCTGCATAATGCTTTTAATTAGGCCGATTTCTAACTTTAGTCCTCGTTTTAATGTGTTGTAATGAAAGAAAGAAGAAAAAGTTGCTTTATTTATAAAAATTAATTAAAAAAATGTTTTGACATTTAGGTTATAAATGTCAAAAATTGAGGTTATATTTGTATTTTTTGATTAATTTGATTTCGCGCGCTTTTTTTTAACGCTAAACTAAATAAATAAAGTTTAATTTACAAAAATAAACAAACCGCAGATAAGATTTATCAACAAGTAAATATACAAAGTGAGTAATGTAAAAAAAACGTGTAACCGTTAATTTTAAAACCGGAAATAACACTAAAAGACACCTTCGCGACATGTGGTTGATACAAAAAAAGGAAAATAAAACGAAAACCATCTGCCATTTAGAAAATAAACGGTTTTTAGAGACGCGCGTAAAGCTCAAGGTCAACAAAAACCTACGTGATTTTTCTGTAAACCACGCCGCCGCGTTTGAAAAACGTTACCGGCTTTTCCGTGCGGCCGCCATTTTGTCGATATACCGCCAAAAACAAAGCTTTCGCGATTTTCACCAAAAAAACAACTTTTCCACCAAAAAAATACGCTCAATCGATACTTACGCGTTTTCCACTTTATTATCGGCCATTTTCACGATTTGTTGATGAAAAAATCCGGGATTTTCACCGTTGGAAAATTGAAAAAATAACGCACACACAATTGTTAAACCGAACGCGTTGGTGGTCGCGTGCAAAATGGCCAAAACGACGCGACGCGGATGGATATCGGGGGGGAGAAGGACGGTAACGGAAGCGGTAGTGGTAGTGGTTGTTGTTTTGAACGTTCTGATTGGCCCACTTTCTCCTCTTCTTCTTCCCTTTTACCGCGCGCCAGTTTTAATACAAGGTGAGCGCGGGGTCGTTTATTTTCGGATAAAAAAAAAAGAAATAGTTTTGAAATTTCCCGCCGATTTAAATACTTTTATTATCAAGTTATTATCTTTTAACCCCTTTTTTATCGATTAATTTACGTTTAAACCAAACATTTTTATAATTGACATTTATTTAAAATTAATACCAACCTAAAATTAAAAATAAAAAATTAATTAATTAAATTTCCCGTTTTAAAAACATTTATTTATTATTATTATCTAATTATATACTTTAAACTCAAAGAGATCAGTTTACGTAATAAGTCGTTTATAAACTCAATGTGGCCTAATCGTTTCGAAAATTTCTCCTTGAATTTCTAAACTTTAATTTAAAATAATGTCTAAACAAGTCAGGGATTATCCAAATATTTGCGATTATAATTGAAACTTCCTGTTTGTACACGTTTAGGGTTAAAAAAAACGACTAAATCAACAGGTTCGGGCGGTTAAATTATTTAGTGTCAAGTGGAAAATTCCGTTTACCATTATATCGATTAAACCACGTTGCCCATTCAAAACGTAACGAAATTATTACGGCTTCGTTTTAACGATCTGCGAATGAATTTAATTGAATTATTTTTTATTTATTCTGAGTTGTTCGACCTTCGTTGTTATTTTTAGTTGATTTTAAAATTAAATTTTTTTTACTTCTAAATCAGCGCCATCTCTTTTCTAAAAGATCAATCTCATTCAATTCTCTTCAAAATGAATATACAGTTTTTCACAAAATTGAGTAAAGATAGATAATGAATATTTCAAATAATTATTAATTTATTTTAAATTTTTTGATGTATATATGTCACCGTGTAAGACAGAAATCTGGTAAATGTCGACATCCCTTGATTACAGGTTAAATGTTGCTTGAGGGTACCATTTTTACTTGCTAATTTATAAAAATCGGAATCATCTATTCCAATTAATAACTACCATGAACACATTTCGGGGAGTCCACGGTCGACATCAGATATTTGTATTCGTACGAGTCAACAATTTGGGCAAGAAGAAATTTTCTTTTTGAAGTTTTTAACATTTTCGTTGTGGAACCATAACTTACCTTTGATACTACTTGGTCTTAAATCATCTTTGAAGGAGGACTCCGCAGAATTGGGTTATGGTCAGCCACTCAGATTACCAAAAGAATTTTTCATACATGTCGAACCATCAATTGAAACTTAACCATTAATATCACGGTTAAAATCATCTTTTACTGAGATTAAACTAGTTCAGTGAACCATACATACCAGCTAAAAACCTTTTATACACAAGAAATTGTTCTGCTCAAACTTTGTACTGTTTCCCTTTGTATACTCAATTTTGTGAGCAACTGTATTTGTTCTCAATTAACACCATCTCCTTCCTAAAAGATGAATTATAATTTAATTAAAAAGAAATTAATAAGAAAAGATATTTTAAAAAAGTGTATTCAAATCAATTAAAATATAATGTAATTAACGTCAAAATTAAATTTACAGTTTCCTGTAAATTATAACTAAAAATTAAAAAAAAACATTTCTGATATTTGAAACAAATACATTTGTTGAACAATTTAATTTATATTTGTTTTACACAAAAGTTGGAATAGATTGCATTATTTCACATTTTTTATTAATATTTAATACTATTATTAAATGACTTAATAAATTATTGATAGATGGCGCTCATATATATTTTTTTTTATTTTTTTTAATTCAAATAAACATAGCAACATTTGTTTGTATTCAAAAATTTTCTGAAGTGTCAAATTAAAAATCCTGTTTTTTCGTAATCCATCTTACGACAATTACGAAAAGTTTAACATGTTAAAATGTTACATATTAGAAAATAAAGTAATTTACAGGAAACTGTAAATCTAATTTTCTTGACGCACTAAAAAAAGGTTATTTTTAGCTTTATTCCAAAACAATAAGAAATAGACCTATATTTTTGTAATCAGAAAAAAATAACGAATTTAATAAGCGAATAGTCAGTGGTTGTTTCTATTTAAAAAAACGAAAATTGTCATAATATCTCAAAATCTAAAAACGACAAATTTTCTTTTGTCTACGTCATCAAATTCTCTGTAAAAAAATATCCATATAATGTCTTAGTTATAATACTCTACCTATAATAATAACCAAGATAATTATTGTACTTGCTGATATTTTCAATTTTGGCCTCTAGGGGAATTTTTTTTAAATGTATTTGTTCTAAATTATCGCCATCTCCTTTCTAAAAGATGAATTTAATTAAAAAAATTAATAAGAAAAGATATTTGTATAAAAAATTTATTCAAATCAATTAAAATATAAAAAATATAATGTTACTAACCTCAAAATGTCCTTTTTCTCGTTCTGTCAATTTGACGTTTAATCTTTTCAACATGAATATAACCACAAAACGATTTTTCATTTATAAATATCTATAATGAATTTATTTAAATGTATTTGTTCTAAATTATCGCTAATCTAAAAATTAATTGAATTTAATTTAGAAAAAAATGATAAGAAATGATATTTTTATAAAAAATTTATTCAAATCAATTAAAATATAAAAATAATTAACCTCAAATCAAAATTTTTTCGTTCTGTCAATTTGACGTTTAATCTTTTCAATATGAATATAACCACAAAACGATTTTTTATTTATAAATTTCTATAATTAATTTGTTTTAAATGTTTTTGTTTTAAATTATTGCAATCTCCTTCTTAAAAGATGAATTTAATTAAGAAAAATTAATAAGAAAAGGTATTTTTAAAAAAAATTTATTCAAATCAATTAAAATATAAAAATAATTAACCTCAAAATCTCAATTTTTTCGTTCTGTCAATTTGACGTTTAATCTTTTCAACATGAATATAACCACAAAACGATTTTTTATTTATAAATTTCTATAATTAATTTTTTCAAAATGTTTTTGTTTTAAATTATTGCAATCTCCTTTTTAAAAGATGAATTTAATTAAGAAAAATTAATAAGAAACGTTATTTTTGTAAAAAATTTATTTAAATCAATTAAAATATAAAAATAATTAACCTCAAATCTCAATTTTTTCGTTCTGTCAATTTGACGTTTAATCTTTTCAAACGATTTTTTTATTTATAAATTTTTATAATGAATTTTTTTTAAATGTATTTTATTTAAATTATCGCCATTTCATTCCTAAAAAATAATTAATAAGAAAAGATATTTTTATAAAAAATTTATTCAAAAAAATATAATTTAATTAACTTCCAAATGTCAATTATTTAGTTCTGTCAATTTGACATTTAAGTTTTCAAATACAAACATAACCCCAAAATGTTTTTTTATTTATAAATTACTTTAAAACTTTCTTATTATATGATTAAATTTAATATTAAACATTATTACAATTTGTATTTTTGTTCTAGATTAGCCCCATCTCGGAGTTAAAAGTAAACTTTAGGATTAAGTGAAATCTAGTTTATCTGGTTGTTCCACGAAGTAAACAAGTTTAAATACAAAGAAAGTAGATGTCGTAAATGGTATTTTACGTGGGCGTACAGCCATCTATCGCGTAAACTATTCAGTAACCGTGTAGTTATCTTGATGGTAGCGTACACCACATAATCCGTAAATGAAGTGAAAATTTGCTTGTGCGGGAGCCATTTTACAACGTAGACGAAATTTTCCAAACGGAAAATCACCCGGATATACCGCCCGCCCCCGTGCGAACGGATCTCGGTGTGTAACTTGAGATGCACCCCTTGTGTTGACCCCGTCCTCTCCGTGGTGGTGCGGAAATTAAAAGAATAACGTAAAACTATTAATATTTATTTGGTTTACGTCCGGTTATTGCGGTTACAAAGTGGTCCCTGGAATACAAATCATGGGCAATAATGCCGCAACGGCCAACAAAAAAGTCGACTCCGCAGAGAGCGTCAAAGAATTTCTCGATCAAGCCAAAGAGGATTTTGAAGAAAAATGGAAAAAGAATCCGACAAACACAGCTAGTTTAGATGATTTCGAACGTATTAAAACGTTGGGAACGGGAAGTTTCGGAAGGGTTATGATCGTACAACATAAACCGACTAAAGAATACTACGCAATGAAGATCCTCGATAAGCAAAAGGTGGTTAAATTGAAACAAGTCGAACATACACTTAACGAAAAACGAATTCTCCAAGCGATTTCGTTTCCGTTTTTGGTAAGCCTCAAGTTCCATTTTAAAGACAATTCCAATTTGTACATGGTTCTCGAATATGTACCGGGAGGTGAGATGTTTTCGCATCTCCGCAAAGTGGGTCGTTTTTCCGAACCTCATTCGCGTTTTTACGCCGCCCAAATTGTGCTCGCTTTCGAGTATCTACATTATTTAGATCTGATTTATAGAGATCTGAAACCGGAGAATCTTCTGATAGATTCGCAAGGTTATCTTAAAGTTACCGATTTTGGTTTTGCCAAAAGAGTTAAAGGAAGAACTTGGACTCTATGTGGAACACCTGAGTATTTAGCACCAGAAATTATTCTCAGTAAAGGTTATAATAAAGCTGTGGATTGGTGGGCTTTAGGAGTTTTGGTTTATGAAATGGCAGCTGGGTATCCACCCTTTTTCGCTGACCAACCCATCCAAATTTATGAAAAAATCGTCTCTGGAAAAGTCAGATTCCCCTCACACTTTGGTTCCGATTTAAAAGATTTATTGAGGAATTTACTCCAAGTTGATTTAACAAAACGATATGGAAATTTAAAGGCGGGTGTTAATGATATCAAGGGGCACAAGTGGTTTACATCAACCGATTGGATTGCAATCTTTCAAAAGAAAATCGAAGCTCCATTTATCCCTCGATGCAAAGGCCCAGGAGATACAAGCAACTTTGACGATTACGAAGAGGAAGCGCTACGCATTTCATCAACAGAAAAATGCGCCAAAGAATTCGCCGAATTCTAAGTGGAAAGAAATATAATTATGAATTTAAGAAAAAAAAACAAAGCGTGAGTGTATGTTAATTATTATCATTTCTTTTTGTTGCTTTTTATTTTCGTTTTAATTTAAGTGAGAGAAATATTGATCTTCCTTGATAATTGTTACAACTAATAGATTAGAAATTAATTCTTATTTTGGTTTAAAAAAAGTAAAATAAGAAAAAAAAACTTTATCTTTTAATTTAAAATTAATTTAAGTTGGTAAAATTGGAAAATTTTAACCTCAAAATGTCAATTTGACACGTCACCCTCAAAAAACGTAAAAAAATCTTTTGTGAAATTTAATTCGATTAAAAAATTGGTGTTGTAGTGCAATTAAAAAAAAATTATTGTGTAACATTTAAAATTACTTAATTCCACGCGATATAAGTACCATTAACTAACACGAACAACACACCATTTGACGTATGTAAGTCGTTTTACTTTCTTGGTTTTGCGCCACAAAATTAAATTTGTTATTTTCATTTTTATTAATTTAATTCTTTGTACGTAATCGATTTATAGTGCCATAAAATAAGTAACGTTTTTTCTTTATGGTTCTTAATCTAATCGCGAAGATTATTCCCTATTCATGGATTATGATTGTATTTTAAAAATTTCTTTTCATTTCCTTTTTTAAACGACCTTAATCCATACAAAAACGACTTACGCAATGACTTTCACTTTTTTTGGTTGTTGGAATTTGAAATTGAAATACTTCTGATTAAAATTGTTTTAAAACTAATTAAAAGATAAAGTTTAAATTTTTCTTCTTGAATATTTATTAATAAAAAAAAAGAAAAAAAATTGAGTTTAGCTTCCAAAAAGATTTACTTAGAGGAAGAAAAATTCCTAAAAAATAAAACCGTTCAACACGAATATTTTTATTGTTGAGGCGATTCGCGAACAGGAAACGTAAACAAATCGAAATACTTCTACTACTTTATTTATTATTATTATCACTTACAAGTATCACAAGTGTGTCTCACGAATTTTGATGCAAATTCACAATTTTGTAACCTTAAATCACAATTTTTTTTAAACAATTATTATGATGAGAAATCGATTCTAAATTAAAAGGGCTTTAAAATGAGCCCAAACACGACCCACCTATCTTATCAACTTCCGGAGATATAGCGTTGTTTATAAATTCAAAATGGCGGAAAATAAATTCAAAAAATTTTAATTTTTGTCATATTTAACCGTGAATATGGGTTATGACCCATCATTTCTGGTTGAAATAGTCCGCTTTTTAAGAAAATTTTGATTATTTAGTTAACTTTTTAAATTTTAAAAATTGGTCATTTTAATCAAAATTTTACCAAAATTTTTTTAAAAACTATTTTATCATCAAAAACGGATAGGAAATTAAGAGGGCTTTAAAATGAGTCTAAACACGACCCACCTATCTTTTCAATTTCCGGAGATATAGCGTTGTTTATAAATTCAAGATGGCGGATAATAAATTCAAAAAATTTTCGTTTTTTTTCATATTTAACCGTGAATATAGGTTGTAACCCATCATTTCTGGTTGAAATGGTCCGCTTTTTAAGAAAATTTTGATTATTAATTTTTGAAATTTTAAAAATTGATCATTTTAATCAAAATTTTACAAAAATTTTTTAAAAACAATTTTATCATCAAAAATGGATAAGAAATTAAAAGGGTTTTAAAATGAGTCTAAACACTACCCACTTATCATTTCAATTTCTCGAGATATAGCGTTATTTATAAATTCAAGATGGCGGAAAATAAATTCAAAAAATTTTCGTTTTTGCTATCTTTAACCGTGAATATGGGTTATGACCCATCATTTCTGGTTGAAATGGTCCGCTTTTTAAGAAAATTTTGATTATTAGTTAATTTTTTAAATTTTAAGAATTGGTCATTTTAATCAAAATTTTACCAAAATTTTTTAAAAACTATTTTACCATCAAAAATTGATAGGAAATTAAAAGGGCTTTAAAATGAGTCTAAACACAACCCACTTATCGTTTCAATTTCCCGAGATATAGCGTTATTTATAAATTCAAGATGGCGGAAAATAAATTCAAAAAATTTTCGTTTTTGTCATATTTAACCGTGAATATAGGTTATGACGCATCGTTTCTCATTGAAATTGTCCATTTTTTAAGAAAATTTTAATTATTAGTTAACTTTTTTAATTTTAAAAATTGGTAATTTTAACCAAAATTGTTTAAAAACAATTATATCATAAAAACTGGATAGGAAATTAAAAGGGCTTTAAAATGAGTCTAAACACGACCCACTTATCGTTTCAACTTTCGAAGATATAGCGTTGTTTATAAATTCAAGATGGCGGATTTTTAAAAAAGCCATCTTTGTTTATTATTTCATTTTTTATCATAAAGTTAGGTTATGGCACATATTTTCGGGTTAAAATTAACTGATTTTTAAATATTTTTTATTATCTCCGCTCATTTGATAACCTTAAAATCAAGTAATTAACAAAAAAAGAAATTAAAATAATTTTTTTGATAAAAAAATCGATCAAACATTAAAAATGCTTTAAAATGAGCCCAAACTTGGCCAATCTAACGTTTTAATTTCCGAAAATATGGAGGCTTTTTACAAATTCAAGATGGCGGAATTCAAAGGTAGCCATCTTTGTTTATTATTTCATTTTTAATCATAAATATGGGTTATGACACATATTTTCAGGTTAGAATTAACCGATTTAAATAATATTTTTATCATTTTTGCCAATTTGATAGCCTTAAAATCAAGTATTAACAAAAAATTTGTTTTTAAATCATATTTTTGTAAAAATCGTTTGGTATTTAAAAATGCTTTAAAATAAGTCTAAACACGCCCCATCTAATTTATCAACTTCTGGAGATAAAGCATTTTTTATAAATCCAAGATGGCGGAAAATAAGGAATCCATCTTTGTTTTTTTATTTTTAATCATAAATATGGGTTGTGGCACATGTTTTCTGATCAAAATGAACCAATTTGAAGGAAACTTTAAAAATTTTCATTTTTGTGTTAACACCAATGTCAAATTAACAAAAAAAATTTGTTTAAAAGGTTTTATTAAAAGAAATCGATTGGAAATTAAGCGGGCTTTAAAATGAGTGTAAACTTGACCTATATACCTTTTTTATCACTCAAAATATAAATTTTTTGAAATTCAAGATGGCGGAAATTAAGGAATCCATCTTTGTTTTTTTATTTTTAATCATAAATATGGGTTGTGGCACACGTTTTCTGATCAAAATGAACCAATTTGAAGGAAACTTTAAAAATTTTCATTTTTGTGTTAACACCAATATGTCAAATTAATAAAAAAAATTCTTTTTGAAAGGTTTTATTAAAAGAAATCGATTGGAAATTAAACGGGCTTTAAAACGAGTATAAACTCGACCTATTTAAATTTCTTATTACTCAAAATATACGTTTTTCAAATTCAAGATGGCGGAAAATAAGGAATCCATCTTTGTTCTTTTATTTTTAATCATAAATATGGGTTGTGGCACATGTTTTCTGATCAAAATGAACCAATTTGAAGGAAACTTTAAAAATTTTCATTTTTGTGTTAACACCAATATGTCAAATTAATAAAAAAAATTCTTTTTGAAAGGTTTTATTAAAAAAAATCGATTGGAAATTAAGCGGGGTTTAAAACGAGTATAAACTCAACCTATTTAACTTTTTTATTACTCAAAATATACGTTTTTCTCAAATTCAAGATGGCGGAAATTAAGGAATCCATCTTTGTTTTTTTATTTTTAATCATAAATATGGGTTGTGGCACATCTTTTCTGGTTAAAATGAACCGATTATAAGGAAACTTTAAAAATTTTCATTTTTGTATTAACACCAATATGTCAAATTAATCAAAAAAATTCTTTTTGAAAAATTTTATTAAAAAAAATCGATTGGAAATTAAGCGGGGTTTAAAACGAGTATAAACTCGACCTATTTAACTTTTTTATCACTCAAAATATACGTTTTTTTCAAATTCAAGATGGCGGAAATTAAGGAATCCATCTTTTTTTTATTTTTAATCTTAAATATGGGTTGTGGCACATCTTTTCTGATTAAAATGAACCAATTTTTAAGAAAATCTCAATCATTTTTGTTTTTGCGTAAAAATAATCTAAATTTTTAATTGAAATTGCATCGAAATCGTTAAGACACATTGTGATGCACCCCTCGTTAATAAAATAAGAGAATTTCTAAACAACATTCAGTATTTTTTTGTACATATTAATTTCTTACATCACATTTTAAAAATTAATTGATAATTACGTTTCTTTAATCAAATTAACCTCAAAATGTCAATGTCAAATTTGTCATTTTGACGTTTAAACGTCAAAAAAAAGTTTTTTTGGTAAATAAGATTCTCTTAATCGCTTTAAATGGTGCGTAAATTGTTTACGTTGATTTTTTTGGCTTTTTCGAAACTTTATAAAAAAAGAAATAAAAATAGAGAGAGCTTTAAGAGACACAAATCATTAATTATTAAGCCCAGCGTTCACATACACATTAAAATAAAAAAACAACACATTTATACACGTTTAAATCATATCTGTCTTTGTTAATAATTAATAAGTAGTTGTAAAGATTATAATTATTGCGAAATGTAGACTTTTTCCTACCTTATTAAAAAAATCGCTCCGGAAAAAAATGAAGATGTTTAGAAAAAATTGTTTAACAAATTAATCACTTTCCGTCGACGTGTTTAAAGCGTTGTTATTAAATTATTATTGCATCACGAAGAAATCAGTAAAAAATAAATTCAAAAATAATACCAAGAATAAGAATAAAAAATGTATATGTATCGTTAGTGGTTAATTATTATGTAATTTTCGTGTACGTAGTGTACTATAATTGTAGCTTAGAGAATGTACTATATCATTTTATCTGTATAATGTACTTTATTGAAATGAAAAGAAAAAAAAATCATAAGATGTGGTCATTAATTAATTATTACTTGTATTATTTTTTCTTGTTTAGATAGATTTTTTCGCTTTTTTTTGTGATATCTTTTTTTTTTCGTTGTTTAGATGAATAAAAAATATATAAATGTATTTACAAAACGATTTATTAGTTTTATCTGATTTAATAAATAATTTTCCAAAAATAAATTAACGAAAATCACGCTTTTTCAGCAAATTACACATACAAAATAAATAAAATAAACTATTGTACATTAAATTAATTGTATTTTAGGCTATTTAGATCGAAAAA